GATGAAATGATTTGATACCCGAAATATGTAGATATATTTATAGTGTTGACAAGATGACACGGTCATCATGGACATGCATGCACGTGCGCGCTCATGCAATGCGTAAAATGACAGATATACTTAATATAGCCGAATTTTTTTTTATCTTTTAATGAAATTTGAATATAAAGATGTATTAAAAGTGTAGACAAGCTGACATGGTCATTTTGTACATGCATGCCCGTGCGCGCGTGTGTAATGCGTAAAAAAACCCAATATACTTGATTGCCTTATTTAATGAAGCTTACAGGGAATAAGACACCAAAAGGAAGTTGGGGAGCGTTTGGGGAACATCTGTAACGGTCCCCGTTACAATTAATACTAGTTATTTTTTTAATATTATATATAAAATAGCTTGTAGTACCGTTGCAAATATTTGGATAAACTTATCAGTCCTGATAAAACTGGTTTCATCTATAAGTTTTAGGTTAACAAAGGTAAAACACACGATTAACTTATGACATATTATGCAGTATACTGAAGAGAAAGTCTCAGATGCTTGGTCTTTTCCTATTGTCTGATTTTGAGGTACGGGTAACTTTCAATACTGCTTAATAGAATTTTATACCAAATTTAAGAATTAGTTTCCATGAAGTTTGGACCCAATATCCATAAATGGGTTCATTACATTATTTTATCATATAATTTCTTTGGCTATGGATAAAGGTGGCCATCTCTCATGATCACCCTTTAATATCCAAAGAAGAAAAAGACAAGGTCTTTCTTTATCACCTTATAATTTCCTATTCTGTGCAAAACTTTTAGCTGGATGTAAATACAAATATTAAAGAGAAGTTCAGCCTAATCTAAAACCTTGTACCCATTTCTTAGGGCTTGTATCCTGCCGGACCCATGTGTACCCCGAGTAACCTGTGTACCCCTTAGCATTAGCTCTGTCCCTGAAATTTTAAATCAAGAACTTTTGGCCTCTTGGTCCTTGAATCCATTTCTTTAAGTGTTGTAACCTGTTGTACCCAAGTGTACCCTTTGTAACCCCTGTACCCTGTCCTTAAGCTCTCTTGTGTGATATTTTAACTTAGAAAAAACTAGACAACTAAACCCTTGTATCCCTTTATAATAGTGTTGTAACCATCTGTACCCAAGTGTACCCTTTGTAACCCCTGTACCCTGTGCTTCAGCTCTCTTATGTGATATTTTAACTTAGAAAATCTTGGCTTCTAAACCCTTGTATCCCTTTATAATAGTGTTGTAACCATCTGTACCCAAGTGTACCCTCTGCAACCCCTGTACCCTGTGCTTCAGCTCTCTTGTTTGATTTTTTAACTTAGAAAAAAACTAGACTTCTAAACCCTTGTATCCCTTTATAATAGTGTTGTAACCATCTGTACCCAAGTGTACCCTCTGTAACCCCTGTACCCTGTGCTTCAGCTCTCTTGTTTGATTTTTTAACTTAGAAAAAAAACTAGACTTCTAAACCCTTGTATCCCTTTATAATAGTGTTGTAACCATCTGTACCCAAGTGTACCCTCTGTAACCCCTGTACCCTGTGCTTCAGCTCTCTTGTTTGATTTTTTAACTTAGAAAAAAACTAGACTTCTAAACCCTTGTATCCCTTTATAATAGTGTTGTAACCATCTGTACCAAAGTGTACCCTTTGTAACCCCTGTACCCTGTGCTTCAGCTCTCTTGTTTGATTTTTTAACTTAGAAAAAAACTAGACTTCTAAACCCTTGTATCCCTTTATAATAGTGTTGTAACCATCTGTACCCAAGTGTACCCTCTGTAACCCCTGTACCCTGTGCTTCAGCTCTCTTGTTTGATTTTTTAACTTAGAAAAAAACTAGATTTCTAAGCCCCTGTATCCCTTTATAATGGTGTTGTAACCAGCTGTACCCAAGTGTACCCTCTGTAACCCCTGTACCCTGTGCTTCAGCTCTCTTGTTTGATTTTTTAACTTAGAAAAAAACTAGACTTCTAAACCCTTGTATCCCTTTATAATAGTGTTGTAACCATCTGTACCCAAGTGTACCCTTTGTAACCCCTGTACCCTGTGCTTCAGCTCTCTTGTTTGATTTTTCAACTTAGAAAATCTTGGCTTCAGAACCCCTGTATCCCTTTATAATAGTGTTGTAACCATCTGTACCCAAGTGTACCCTCTGTAACCCCTGTACCCTGTGCTTCAGCTCTCTTGTGTGATATTTTAACTTAGAAAATCTTGGCTTCAGAACCCTTGTATCCCTTTATAATAGTGTTGTAACCAGCTGTACCCAAGTGTACCCTCTGTAACCCCTGTACCCTGTGCTTCAGCTCTCTTGTTTGATTTTTTAACTTAGAAAAAAACTAGATTTCTAAACCCTTGTATCCCTTTATAATAGTGTTGTAACCAACTGTATCCAAGTGTACCCTTTGTAACCCGTGTACCCTCTGCTTCAGCTTTGTTTTTATAATTTAGTTTACAAAAGCACTACAGAATATCTACTTTCATTTTCAGTAGGAATATATAGCGTACCCTTTTTGTAACCTTTTGTCCATACATTTCATAAGGATGTACCCTAGGGTACAAAAGTATCACCTAAAAACGCAGTACCAATTTCTTGCCATATCTAGTTAATGTGATCGTCAGAATTTCCTCGTAAACAATTTGCACAAGAATATAATTATATATATCCCTTTAAAACTAATGCTCCCTGTACGCAACCAAGGATTTTATGTGCTTCGTAGATGTGGATTAAACGTGCATTTCTACATACGGCTCGTACGTTAAGAAAATGTACAACTGTCAACTTCACATATTTTCTGTAATTCCGACTTGCATGGCTACTTCCGGGGACGTACTAAGGACTTGATATACTAAAGAACCTGATATTCGACCTGATGATTTTTCAAAAAATAAAATAATCAGATTGAGTGTTATACATGATTTATTTTTTAAAAATTATTGATTATGAAGCATTATGCTATACTAAACTACACTTTTTTTTAAATATTTGCCAACAAAGCATCAGATCAAATCACGTTTTCCGTATATCGGGTCTTTAGTGTCTTCTTCCCACAATGCCGCTCGTGATTGTTTACATCTAGGTTACAAACAAGAGGCCCCGATTAGGACTCTTTCTATACGGATGCATTTGTAAATGTTGATTTTCCTTTACTTGTGTAAATAACTTGCATTTATAAACGATTTAGATAACAGAAAACAGAGAAATCGAATCAAAACAATTTATTTAAAACACAACAACTATCTCAAACCGTACAAGCATGTGTTACGATGCCCTAAAAGGCGTGGCTGGTTTGTAGACAACTTGTTCCTGTACGATTCTCGAATAATTATTATATAAAATAGAATAAAATATAGCACGGAGCTTGTTTCTCTTTATACCACATGACAAGATTTAATATGTTAGAAATTATGTCATTCAAACTTTTTCATAATGTTTTAATATTTTTAGCTATCCAAAAAATACTTTTATGACTTGCTGTCCCCTGAATATAGGAACCAGCCCCTTTTTCTTGATGTTATCTGAAAGCTCTCGTAATTACACACAACTTTCATTCTGTATGTCTTACCAAATTTTTATCAGTTTAAAAGTTATTAAACAAAAAGCAGCAAAATTTCATGGAAAAATAATTCCTAAAACTTGCCGTCACATAGCTTCCAAACTTAAAAAAATTAGCCTACAATTTTAATGTTCTGCGCATCTGCAATGTATTAGTTACAAGTTCTCCAGTTTTCATGCAAATATCATGTGTCGTTATTGAGAATTCTACTGGACAAGAGAACCTCCAAATATCGATTAAAGGGCAATAACTCATGAACGGAGGTATATATCAAAAATTTGAAAAAATCGTTTTTAGGCAATAATACATTGTATCTACCCTGAAAGTTTCATAGCAATCGGACAAAAGGTCTCCGAGAAATCGCCTGCTGAAAATCGGCGGGAAAAAAAATAAAATAATAGTAAGAAACAGTAGAATAACAGTAGGGTCTTCCGAAGGAAGCTCGGAAGACCCTAATAAGTAACAGTAGAATCACTATAAGGTCTTCCGTGAAAACGGAAGACCTTAATAAGAAACAGAGGAAAAACAATATGTTCCCAAACTTCGTTTGGGGAACATAATTAAAGTAATAAATAACAATTAAGGAAATGTTCGAAACTCTGACACTAAAGTTTTTCTGCTGTTAGAAATCAAAACTGGGGTTTATGGAGGCAGAAATTTTAAAATTAAATTAAAAAATTAGTCGAAGAAGTGCGAAGAAGAAAATAGGTTTTGGAGACATGATTGGTAAATAATAAATATTTTGATTTTCTGATAAACATTACTAAAATGAGTTGAGATGACTAATTTAGAGCAAATTAAATGAAATATACGAGAACTGCAGAAATACTGTTTAGAATACATGGAGATGGAAAATTGGAAGTTCGGTAACAACAGGTAAGGTTAAAAGAAGTATCTAATTGCGTCTTAATTCGAAGAACATAGGATCAACCTCTAAAAGCTACCGCCATTAATTATCTTGTGCCGCTCTTGGGGAATTAACGGTGGTTTCACGGAACGTAAATTACACTTTTATTGAGTTTACCAGTGTCTTGTCATGCTGTTCAATTTAAATCATATTTTCACAGTTAGATATTCATCATTATTAGATAACGGAATTTTTTTTTTTATTTTTTTTTTTTTATTTTTTTTATTTTTTTTGGTTAGTTTTTGTTTTTGCTGCAACATATCAAAAACATATCAAAATAATCTAGCCGATAAATAAAGTACCCAAATGTTCCATCATATCTTTATGAATGCCCTTAACAAAAGGCTATTTTAGATAGTATTTATTTTGGATTTACCTCAACAGTGGAAAAATACATTTAAAAACTTTATCTCGTAATTTTGTACTATGTATACACAAATGCCCACTTAAAATACCTTCCCTTTGTTCACTTTAAAAATTGTCTAAGCATCCAACGTACTTGTTCAAGCGTAAAATCGCAATTTCTAATCTTCAGCTTTCGTTCCAGAGAACTTTGGAACCACATTCGTTCTTCCAAATCCATTCTCTAGCACGAATATTTTCTGCGAATTTTTTGGAAATGACTTTTTAGAGGATTTATCAGATAAACAAATCAACGTTAAACAACAGTCAGGAAAAGGGTGCGAAGATCTACTCAATAGTACTAATGAGGCTTATATATCTTTTAATTCCACCTCACCAGTGATCATAACTGCAAACAGGGAACTATCTTTATTATGTCGATACAGAGGAGATGACAGAAGACTTTATACAAATACTTTTATTGTTCCTCCTGTTGACATTCTGAGTACGGAATATATGGTTACTTTACCACCTGAAGATGTCGGTAGCGGATGTATTTTATTAAGTTTGTTTGACAACACCTCATTTGCTATACCACAACTGAATATGTTTGAAACAGTGCAAGGACTGCAACAAAAAAATATTTCTTCTATCAAATCGGGAATGTTTATCGTAGCTAACAAAGTCATTTCAGTTCTATGCTACAGTTACAATGAATATATAATGAGTCATCCCCTTCCCTCTTCCGGAACTTATTTCAAATTAATTAAGTCCGAAAATTTCACGGAGGAGGAGCTGATTATAGCGTCAACAGATGGAAACACAGTGTTGACCTTTGAAATGGCCAGAGAGATGGGCACTAACTATACACAGGTTTATAACAACGCCTCGATGAAAAATATGGGGGACATTGGAATTCATACATGGGCAGAAAATATTTCCTTTTTCTCGATCACTGCCAACAAACCTGTAATTGTAGCAGCCTACTTCAAACAGAATGATAACACATCGAATTCTAAACCGTATAGTCCAAACAGAACTAACTTTGTGTATGTTCCGCCCACATTGAATGAAACTTTGCAGGGCATCTACTTGTCTCGATCCGGATGGCCATATCATTTTAGGATGTCCACAAGAAAATATGTAGGAATCTTTTTGTTTAATATAATCTTCACTGCAAACTTAATTAATGTAAAAAGGATTAACTTTTTTCTCAAATTGTCACCTGAAGTGTTTGCCAGATAATTACATCTAAATTCCTAACAGGGACCAATTTTTTTTCCACATATTTGGCCCTTTATTCAGTGGAAATTGGTCTTTTGATAATACATGTATTTTTATATATTTACATTTGCAAATGTTTTCTTTTATATAACACTATTTAAGCAACGCGTATCTACAGTATTGTGCCATATATTCATAAACAAATGTCGGCGACGTCACGTAAACAGACGAACTACAGGGAATGTTATAGCCATAACAGGACACTTAATTTTGATAATAAAATAAATATATTAAAACTTATCTTATTATTTTGTAATATTGCCCTTGGCACTGACTAGTTTAAGCAGACGTCTTGGAATTGAACGATACAAATTTTGTATGTAGGTTGTTGGGTTGGCTGTCCAAATATGCCGGATTTCACGTTCCAGGTCGGAAGCATTGTTTATATATAAAATTCGTGACCTCAATTTATTTTTTAATAATAACCAACAGTTTTCTATTATATATAGCCATGTCATCAAGTTATTGGCATTTCTCTGCTTAAATCTTGAAAAATAAAATCGTTTGTTGGAAAATGCTGGGCTACAGCGGGCCAAAGTTCTGAATCAAGTTTGTCTATGTATTTTTGTGCATTGATATTACCATCTACGACACAAATTGTCCCCACACCATTCCAAGTTATGCATGCCCAGATCATCAAACTTCATTACTTTGATAGGCGGACCAGGACATAAACACTCGGGCATCCATTCTTCACCCGGTCGTCTTCATTCATACACACGGTTGCTTTCTCCTATTATTATTTTATATTCATCTGTGAATATCACTCTATCACATTCTCCTTCAACTCTCCACAATCTCTTTCCTCTTGCCCACGTCACACGTTTTTGCGGTTCTCGTCGCGAATACGGATTTTCTTTCTTACGATCCTCCTATGAAAATTATTTTCATACAATCGTCTCTTGACTGTTCTCTGTGAAACAGGAGAATGCCTATCCTGATTGATAATATCGGTAATGCCAGCTAACGGAACAGTACGTTTTGTTTTTACAACTCTTAAAAGTTTCCTAGTTTCACGGTTGTCCATTTTTCGTTTTCTTGGGGCCTTTTCCACCGAACCTCTACCTAAATAGCGTTGTACAACTGCATACACACTGTTCCGAGGAATTTTCAACTCAAGGCTTATAGGTGTATATTTTTGTCCTGACAGATATTTGTCAACAATCATTTGTTTCAAAAGGGTAGAAAAGTCTTTGCATTTCCCCATGTTTACATTCACGAGACCTTTTCGTTTTCAGCTGAAGTCATATTTTACAAGTGACGTCATTGATCGATAGTGGAAATTGATAGCTATTTATAGAAGTAAGAAACTTGTATGGTATGATTTTTAATTGATTGTTTCAAAATCATAACGCTATTTTCCCGTTTGTTCATAAATATATGGCACAATACTGTATATCTGTACAAACACAGGTTCCTCACGTCATAAATGTTCGACGTAATTTCTCAGTGACATTATAAAGGGTTGACGCGTTTTCAATGGATCAAACTTGTGTTGAGTTTTGAAAAATAAAACTTTTCACGCCTTAAATATTATTCTCAGGCAAATTTATATTATAAAACAGTCACAAATGCAAAAAGAAGTAATCAGGTATCATTTTAAAACATCTATCTGGATATACACGTAAATACCCTTCGGGCTTTATGGAATTTGATCAATTGACCAACCCGTATTTTTGTATCGATAGATTTTTAAAAATGATACCTTATTTAATAAATAGCCATATTTTCTTTTCCAAAGCTGCGTTGTGTCATCGAAACAACTACAGGCATTTGTAATCATGAGAGATGGAAAGTAGAATCCCTTATTTAATTAATCAAAGCAATGAAATAAGGGTAAACTTTTAAACAGCTTCTTTTTTGACTAGCGGTAGAATTTTTGATACTTTATACAACATATGATTGAAACCGAAGGAAACTTTTTAATTCTCTGTAAAACCATATCATAAAAAATATCCCATGTTTGGAAATAAATTTTTATCCAACTCGTGTTTTCTATCCTCACGTCCAAGGCTAAGGCTAAGGACAGAAGAGATACACGTACATAATTAAAAAAAAATATTTCAATCAAAAATGCATCACAGTTCACTATATTACTTCTATATTCAAGCTTCCTACGTCGAACCAGCTGTTCCCCGGAGATAAAATAGATAATGACCAGGACGGCTTAACTGATGAAGAAAGTTGTCTGGATTTTGAGGAGGGTAAGAATAACGATTAAACCCCAGCGGAAATAAGAGATATACAAGATAGTTAATTTGATATCGTTTATATTATGTCTTGCATAAGCCTTAATTTTACTAAATTTAATTTTGAAAATATTTTTGTTTAAATTACAAAGCTGGTGTATTGTCTGACCTTGACCTAGATGGCTCGTATAGAGAGGACTGTAAAGGTAGGTAATTAATAACATATGATGATAATAGAGATGTCTGATAGAAGGTCCAGAATAGAAATCATTGATATATTTATCTGATAGAAGGTCCAGAATAGAAATCATTGATATATTTGTCTGATAGAAGGTCCAGAAAAGAAATCATTAATACATTTGTCTGATATAAGGTCCAGAATAGAAATCATTGATATATTTATCTGATAGAATGTCCAGAATAGAAATCATTGATATATTTGTCTGATAGAAGGTCCAGAATAGAAATCATTGATACATTTGTCTGATAGAAGGTCATGAATGGAAATCATTGATATATTTGTCTGATAAAAGGTCCAGAATAGAAATCATTGATACATTTGTCTGATAGAAGGTCCAGAATAGAAATCATTGATATATTTGTCTGATAGAAGGTCCAGAATAGAAATCATTGATACATTTGTCTGATAGAAGATCCAGAATAGAAATCATTGATATATTTATCCGATAGAAGGTCCAGAATAGAAATCATTGATACATTTATTTGATAGAAGGTCCAGAATAAAAATCATTGAGAAAAATTTGTATGACAGAAGGTCCAGAATAGAAATCATTGATACATTTGTCTGATAGAAGTTCCAGGATAGAAATCATTGATACATTTGTATGACAGAAGGTCCAGAATAGAAATCATTGATGCATTTGTCTGATAGAAGGTCCAGGATAGAAATTGTTGATATATTTGTCAGACAGAAAACCTAGAAAAGAGATCATTGATATATTTGCCTGACAAAAGGTCTAGAGTAGAAATCATTGATATATTTGTCTGACAGAAGGGAAGAAAAATATCTGACATTAAGAAACACTGCTAGCCCATGGTTGTTCATTTTTATTTCATGTTCACTTCAAGAATGTTTTAAATCCGTCGGATTGGACGTTAAACGTGGACCCGTGTCAAATATTAAAATTTCCATGAAAATAAAAAAAGATCGTTTCACTTGTTTTTGAAAAAGAGTCAGAGAAACTAAGGTCTTCAAAACCTGTCAGTTACAAGGTTTATTGCCGAAAATGGCTGAAATACTGCTGTAAAGCCCTAAATAATCAATCAAACAAGGGTGCTTTGGAAATGCGTTTGGCTCCTTTACAAGAAATGGGTATTATCTCGGTGCGTAGTAATAGGAATATCAAAAGTGAAATGGGAGCCTTATACTAGGACGCTGGACTCTATATCTTCAACAGTACAAGTTCAAAATACAACATCGCTCTGGAACTAAAAACTAAAACGCAGACTGTCTGTCTCGTCCTTATTACTTCTTACCAGAGTTTCAAGATGTCATGCAATAGTGGGTGAAGATGCTGAAGATGCCCAGCCTGCTAATACTGATCATCAAGTTCACTCAGAGAATGAATATAAGGGGATGACAATGCTGATGAGGACTACAGTATTCCAGATGCAGTTCCTGAGCAATAAGATCCTTTATCTCATCCACTGGGATCGCAACCAAAGAATAAAAATCACAATGAACATACATCAACAAATACGTCAAAGCAAAACCAAGAGTCAAAACAAATCGTTAACTGCTGATCAAATTGACAAAATACTCGAGTATAGCTTGTACCAAGGATAACCAATTTACAAAATAAAGTTAAAGATGAATCTCAAACTTCAAGGTAAGATGACAGTCAAATTTAAAAAGAACTGAAAGACAATTTCCACTCCGTAAACAATGCAAAGGGAAAGAAAAGAAAGCGACCTCAAAACAAGAATTTTATTGACACGCTCTTTCACATCTGCAAAAGAGTAAACAAAAGATCATTCAGGCAACAATTGATCGTAAGGCACTCTCATAGTATTTTTTCTTTCTGGACCGGATGGACATGGTTTTACAAATGGAAATTTGCAAATGAAGTTCCAGGTCATTTGTTCAAACCCTTTTTCAACAAACGTGACCAAGAAATCAGGGATTGTAAGGCGCGAAAAAGATGCACAGAGTTAAATTGAAACATATGTCAATACATTCCAGTATCTTTTGTAGATTTCTTTTCTTTCCAAACAAACCTACAAAATTTTTACATCATCTTACCCCCTACAAGGCAAGATATATACCGACTTGTTACTCATCTCCAGAAGGCATTCTTGCATCCAAAAACAAACTCTATAATCATGCGGAACTCTTCCATGCAAACGTTGACTTCTAGATCTAAGCTTCTGACTACAAATTTCAAATAAAATAAATTCATTAATTATATTCAATCAAAAATCGATGAATGATTCTTTCTCATTCTTTTCTCATGGTATTAGAACACCATTAAATCCTGCGTCTGGTCTGATTTTCTTTTAAGAACAACAAAAGCATTCCTGATTAATTATTTGCAAGCTGTTGTTCCCCAAGAATATTTAGTGATTTTACAGTAATTGTTAATCTTAATTTTCAAGACCTTGTTCATGGCACTGGTCACTCATAGGGGTTAAGTAAATTAAATATTACCCCATTTGACTTCTTGACATCAAATGATGACACTTTCATCAGTCAATTAAAGGATTAGTTATTAGTGACAGATTATAACATTAGGCTATATTTTAAGAAAGGATTAATTCCACTGATTGAGTGAACTTTAGTTTTTAGTGAGAGTTAGTTGTTGGACCTTGAGCCGAAAGGTTGGAAAATTAGTAAGAACCATGTAGGGAATTAGGAAACAACTTTATTCTTTTGTTTAGGCCCCATCTTCTAAATATCCTTGGGAACATTTTGGACTTGAATACTTTTGTGTTTTGTAAATGTGAACTATTCAATATTCGATATTGAATAAACTGTTATTCAATCATGTTATTCTGACTTCCTGTATTTTGTGCAATATTCCCGAATCCCTTGAGTAATATTCCTCAAATGAACGTGAACCCCCGAATTATGTCCAAGAAATATGAGCACGCGGTCCCAGGTATACTCTTTTGTCCATATCGTTTTCAAAATATAACTAGATGCTGTCATGAGACAGTAATACCCGCACTAAGGTGTTTGCCTCTAAATGCACACTCCTTCATATTGGGCTTACCAAGGAAAAAGTCCAAATAATTCTATAATTTACACAGTACATGTATTCGTCAAATCGAGCATAAAATGCTCAGGTGACGATGTGACCCATGAAATACGGAAGCGTATTAGGGCCGCAGCAGTATCTTTTATTAATTTTTTATAACAAATTATTAATTTGTTATAACAAATTATTAATTTGTTATAACAAATTATTAATTTGTTATAACAAATTATTAATTTGTTATAACAAATTTTTAATTTGTTATAACAGATTATCAATTTGTTATAACAGATTACTAATTTGTTAAACAGATTACTAATTTGTTATAACAAATTATTAATTTGTTATAACAGATTATCAATTTGTTATAACAGATTATCAATTTGTTAAAACAGATTTCTAATCTGTTATAACAAATTATTAATTTGATATAACAAATTACTAATTTGTTATAACAGATTACTAATTTGTTATAATAGATTACTAATTTGTTATATCAAATTAATAATTTGTTATAACAAATTATTAATTTGTTATAACAGATTATCAATTTGTTATAACAGATTATCAATTTGTTAAAACAGATTACTAATCTGTTATAACAGATTACTAATTTGTTATAACAGATTACTAATTTGTTATAACAGATTACTAATTTGTTATAACAAGTTACTAATTTGTTATAACAAATTACTATTTTTAATAAAGTGAAGGTGTATTCAGATCTACGGAAGCCAGATCGGATCAGAAATCTTATTAAAAGTTGGATTTGTGAAAACAATAAATATATAAGTTCTGCAGCTACAGCTTTTGACCAATTATGTTGATATGTTAATCTGGATTTACATCTTTTAGCACTTAGTTTTATACAGTCAGACATTATTGTTATAAAGATACGATGCATCAAATTCTTTGGTTACTATAATTGCTTATTCTTAGGAGCTTCAATTGAATTTTGTCCTTTCTTGCTCCCCCCCCCCCGGCTCCGTCCTTGACTCCCATCTACCAGGTCATAGCATCCCCACATGTACCAAATGATGATCTACTTTACATACTGCTTTTCAATTTTTAAATGTATCATTAATTTTATGCATATGTGTACCGAGACAAATGGAGAGAGTGATTATAGGCATTTATGCCTACTGTTCAATCCAGTGTATGTATAAAGAATAAAATATATTTTAAACTAAACCGCCGTTCCTAATGCAAAAACCTGAATCTGCTCCTCTGGTGAACCTCCTTGGCCCCAATTTACGCTGGGGGCAATAAAGGCAACATTGACAAAAATGAATTTGTAGATAAATTATCACAGAAAAAATGATAAACACTCTGTAACAACCTTCTCTGAAAACGAAAATAAACAATATTCTTGAGTGGCAAGTACTTGGTAAAATTTGGATTTAGATACCTTGTGTTATCTTTTGATGTATATATGTAATTTTTACAATCAAAATAAGCGCCTTTTGGAAAAGCCCTCAAAGTCCCACTAAAGCCTTCATAACTTATTATTGGCTGAAAACTTTGACAGTTGTTTCTTCAAATTCATTTGTAATTTGTATCCTGGTTGCCTCATATGGGACTACTCATACATTTTACAAGAAATCGGTAAGCAATATAATTTTGTTATAACAATTCACACAAAATATTACACGTGTAAAGAAGGAAAAATTAGATCTTCTCAACTGTTGACCCCTGTGTTGACTTTGAAAAAAAAATTCCATTCCAATGTTAATTTCAATGGACGACATTGAAATCATATTAAATTGTCCGGATCTTCGAATTTCTCTCAATAGGAAGGATCCAACATTCTATATTTCTTCTACATAATCCCTGGGATGCAGCTATTCTTTTAATTGTCTAACAGAGACATTTATTCCAAGAAACTCAAAAATAGTAATTTGTTATTTCAAATTACTAATTTGTTATTTCAAATTACTAATTTGTTATATCAAATTAGTAATTTGTTATAACAAATTAGTAATCTGTTATAA